ATCTTGCAGCTTCACTGAGCATGGGAAACAATTTCACAAGACAAGTCGGTCAATGATGTATTCAAGTTGTTTGGTTATCAAGGAATGTTTTGAAGTGAAGAAAACTGGAGGCTCAATCAAGAAAAAACAATCAAGACAGAACTCATTTAGTTGTGAAGATTGTGGAAAAACGTTTACCCGAAAGGGTAATCTTAAGACACATACGATGGTTCACACAGGACAGAAACGATTTAGTTGTGAAGACTGTGGAAAAATGTTTACCCGAAAGGGTAATCTAAAGATACACGTGAGAGCCCACACAAGACAGAACTCATTTACTTGTGAAGATTGTGGAAAACAATTTAACCAAGAGGGTAACTTAAAGAAACACATGATAGTTCACACAGGACAGAACTCAGTTAGCTGTGAAGACTGTGGGAAACAATTTAACCAAGAGGGTAACCTAAAGACACACATGATAGTTCACACAGGACAGCAACCGTTTAGTTGTGAAGACTGTGGAAAAAGATTTACCCAAAAGGGTAATCTAAAGAGACACATGATAGCTCACACAGGACAGAAACGGTTTAGTTGTGAAGACTGTGGAAAAAGATTTACCCAAAAGCTTCATCTAAAGAGACACATGATAGGTCACACAGGACAAAAAACATTTGCTTGTGATCTTTGTGGACAAAGGTTTGGAAACAAGTTCACTTTAAACAGACACATGATAGTTCACACAGGACAGAAACCATTTGCTTGTGATTTTTGTGGACAAAGGTTTGGACGGAAGTCAACTTTAAACGCACACATGATAGTCCACACAGGACAGAAAACATTTGCTTGTTCCCTTTGTGGACACAAGTTTGGACGAAAGTCACATTTAAACGCACACATGAGAATACACACAGGACAGAAACCATTTGTTTGTGATCTATGTGGACAAAGGTTTAGACAGCAGTCAAGTTTAAACAAACACATGATTGTCCACACCGGACAGAAAGCATTTGTTTGTGATCATTGTGGACAAAGGTTTGGACATAAGTCAAGTTTAAACAGACACATCATTGTCCACACAGGACAGAAAGCATTTGTTTGTGATCTTTGTGGACAAAGGTCTGGACAGAAGTCAGATTTAAACAAACACATGACAGTCCACACAGGACAGAAAGCATTCGTTTGTGATCTTTGTGGCCAAAGGTTTCGACAGCAGTCAAGTTTAAACACACACATTATTGTCCACACATAAAAAGCATTGGTTTGTGACCTTTGTGGACCAATGTTTGGACATAAGTCAAGTTTAAACAAACATATGATTGTCCACACCGGACAGAAAGCATTTGCTTGTGATCATTGTGGACAAAGGTTTGGACATAAGTCAAGTTTAAACACGCACGATAGTCCATACAGGACAGAAAGCAGTTAAGCTGTGAATAACAACCCTTGTTTTGCCTCTTTTTTTGGGGGGGGGGGGGGGTCACATATCATAAAATAACGCATTACTTTCATTAATATTTATATATTTGTACCTTTGTTACCAAACATTGAGTTTTAAATTTGTCCGCTAAGTGGTGCTTCACTTTTTTTATATGAGCGCTTCTTTAAGAATCTAGTTCAACTTACCCCAGAAGAGGTACTTAGGTCTTTCACAGCTAGTGTGGCTGAGGAGTCCCGCCTCCACATGGGTGGCAGGCGCAAATGAGCTGCAAAAAGCTAAACACACAGCAAACAGTTAAAATATACTGCGAACACATGAATGATGTGATGATGTTTTGAACTCCAAAACAAAAGAAAACATGCAACAGAAAAAATCTTCAATCATAGAAAATGGATGAAAAAACACAATCGAAAAAAACGAATGCAAAGGAAAAATGCTGCAAATACCAAAACACCAAAACAACTTCAAATAAGAAATGCTACAAACTCCAAAAAAAAACGGAATTGTACCAGACCACTAAGGGGGCTTGACCACCAAGATACATGGGACCACCAGACCCCATGTAAATACATTTTATCTGAGCGGCCACTTTCTAAAGTCATAATACTTCCATAGTATGCAATAATACATAAAATGTCTCGAGAGGTTTTGGTAATGTAAGGAAACAAAAATTTGCTATTGTTAAAGGTAAAGGCAGAAAATTAAACATCACCCTAGGTTTTATGAAAAGAAATGACAACACTTTGAAGTCAAATTTGCTTGCAAGGAAAATGCTAAACAACTGTGCACAATTTCTGGAAGGAAATAAAGAAAATGAATAATTATAAAACATGTCTGCCAGCAGATATAGATTGTGTAAATGGAGTAGAGGAAATTACCATATTTTCCGGCATATAATTTTCCTAATAAATGCACTCTAATGGTCAAAACAGCTTCATTTCACCCGGGCAGCGCAGCAAAATTAAGCTGTTTTTACCCTGAGCAAATAAACGTTTGCTCCAGCTGTTCCTCCCAGTTCTGCCGATGGAGCAAGGACGAAGGTGGCTCACGGCTCTACATTGTACCCCCACCTGCACCTTGCTGCTGCTCATGCGCCTCACTTCCCTCTTCCTCCCCGCTCCAGCGGCAGAGGAATGCTGTAGAGATCGCAGCCGGAGCCACAATGGATGGGTGGATGTGTGGGTGTTGCACCGCCACGGAGCCTTCCTCTCTGCTCCGGTGGCGGAGGAACGCTGTAGAGCTCGCAGCCGCAATGGATTTTTCTTTCATTCAACCTTTATTTATACAGGTTAATCCCACTGAGCCTCTGGGACTCATTTACAAGAGAGACCTGATTTTAACAGAGTTTAATTTTTTTTTAACAAAGAGTGATGACAACAGTGGACAACAACTACAATAATAAAGGATACATACAAATTGAGAAGAACAAGTTAAATAATATTGTATTTAAAAGAAAATGTAACCAACAAAAAAACAGCTAGGTTGTAAGGTGATGTAGAAATCTAAAAACAAGAACATGTCTGCATTGGTTTTTGCCAGGAACTTAGCTGTTTAAAGACACTTAGAGAGGTCAAGGTCAAGACTTGCCATCTGCTATCACATTGTACTTTATTACCAAGGGCGTCAGAAGCATCCGTAATGTGTGTGTGTGTGTGGGGGGTGGATACAATGTGTGTAGGTGTGTGTGCACATGCAAAAGTGTACACTAGTGTACAAAAAAAGCAGCCTTTCACCTAGATTTCCTTTGATTCCACACATTTAAAGCATGTTTCTCACCAAGTTTGTGTAAATTCATCTGTGGGTTTTAAAGACATTTTAACTTTAATACACTTTAATACAGAGCGTCAGGTCAGCACCATTTGTGTTTATAGAGAAATAAAAAACACTATACTTTACATGTGTTCAACACTACTCATCTTAAAGGATGTTTCTCACGAAGCCTGAGGACAATAAGGTGCAAAGTTTTAAAGACATTTCAACTTTATTGCAGCTGAACACACAGCGTCTCTTACACCTGTAGCATCTTACAGCGTCACAGTTACTAAGATGCTTCAGACGTAGCGCTCCACTCAAGCATCCTCCTAACATGAATATATGTTTATGATCAAACCCATCGTCAACAACTGCCCACACTAAGCTCGTTAAACTGGCGAGCAAGCAACCCAGAGGTGTCTCCATCTCCTCCACCTGTGCGTTTGAGACAGGAGAAACAGTGCAGGCAGCTGTGTTTAGAGATGTAGGTAACCAGGAAAATCTGGAGTAGAGTTTTAGTGGCTCGAGTGTTCTATTAATCAAGTTGGATGGATTCATTCACGAAGAAAGAGAAACTGCACCGCCTCAACTAATGTTTTATAGTAAAAGTGTGGGGGGGTCCAAATGAACGTTTTTTTGAATGTGGGGGGACTTGTCCCCTTCACATATGATTGCGATGCCCATGTGTATTACACAAGTTTGGCAAGAAAAAGGATCCTCCTCAGGTGGACTTCTCACACACTGGTGGTGGAACCACCGTGCACAAAAATCGCATTATCTGAAACCAAAAATAAATAAAAAATTTGACAGTGTTGCAAAAACTAACTTTTTTTTTTTTTTCAAACTCTTTCTTTATAACGGCTAATTCCTTGGTACAACTACTAATTTTTGTAGTGCAAAATTTAAAATCAAGGGACCATGATGACTTCACATTAGGTTTACTGTTTCCTTTGGCATTCTGTCACTTACCCATTTCAACTCTGTCGCTGTTTCTACTGCCGGGGGGGTGGGACCAAAAACAAACAAAAAAAAGCACACCTGCCAGATCATCTATGGAGCAAAAAAAAAGATGAACATGTTACGCATTATTTATCACCAAACTGTTGTCTTCTTTACGCATTTGCCAAGATAAGACCTTGTTACAGATGTAATAATAAAGTACAAATGAAACAAATCTCGTAACTATTTGTAAGTGAATAAAGTTTAATTTTAAAAGATTTGTGGCATTACAATGTTAAGACGTTACTAATGTGTGACTTGAGTGAATATTGTATCACACAAGTTTGAATTGTGCAATTGAGTTTGTGTGAATTACAGATGTGAATTAGGACATTAGAGTTGTGCATACAATGTTTCAAAAAGCATATTTCACAAAAGATTTTGAGTGGTCCAATTCAATCCAATTAGAATCACCTGTAAAAAATAGGGAGTTATCAAATAAAAATCAGATGGTTGCTCTTCACAGCAGTGCAGACAGTGCAAGAAATGATTTAATGATGATAAACAGAGGAAGGCAAATTTACAACTTTCTGTATTTGAAATGTACATAGATAAAGTGGGTTCTCCCAATTCTGCAGTTGTTCAAATTAGTTTCATTTTTTAGATACATGTTGTTTTAACACTTGTCTTACGTGAAAAACACTTCAGAATATGAATGAGGTAAAACTATTAAAGTTTATATAAATACATACCGTGTCTTGTAAATAATCATGAATACAGAAGTCTCATGGAAAATTCCATTCATTTTATTTATATAGCGCCAAATCAAAAAAAAGTTGTCTCTGGGCACTTTACAGGAACATCCACATACATAAAAGCCAATTAGTAAAGTTCTCTATCTGAGGAATCCTGCAGACAAGTTGAATCTTGGCTTCGTTGCAGTCTCCCATCCTGAGAAAGCACAATGGCAATAGTGGAAAGGAAAAACTCCCTTTTAAAAAAGAAGAAACCTCCAGCAGAACCAGGCTCAGGAGGACAAGCGGCCATCTGCTTTGACCGGCTGGTTGAGAGGACAGGAAGGAGAGACAAACAAACACAGAATGGTAGGTCCAGGTGTACCTGAAAGACAAAATAAATAAAAAAAATCGGATGAGCAGAGTAAGTAAAGACGGTAGCAGAGTGAAAATTGTGGTCAGTTTGTCCTCCAGCAGTCTAAGCCTAGCAGCATAACTAAGGGACAGCTCAGGAAACCCAAGCCAACCCCAACTATAGGATTTAGCAAAAAGGAAAGTCTTAAACCTAGTTTTAAAACTGGATAATGTGTCGGCCTCATGTACAGAGATTGGAAGTTGGTTCCACAAGAGAAGCCTGATAACTTAAAGATCTGCCTCCCATTCTGTTTTTGTAAATTCTAGGAACCACAAGTAAACCTGCAGCCTGAGAGCGAAGTGCTCTGTTAGGAAAATATGGAACAAGATTTGTAATATAAGATGGAGCTAGGTTGTTGAGAGCTTTGTAAGTTAGAAGTACAAACCGGATTCCAAAAAAGTTGGGACACTAAACAAATTGTGAATAAAAACTGAATGCAATGATGTGGAGATGGCAAATGTCTATATTTTATTTGTAATATAACATAGATGACAGATCAAAAGTTTAATCTGAGTAAATGTAACATTTTAAAGGAAAAATATGTTGATTCAAAATTTCACAGTGTCAACAAATCCCAAAAAAGTTGGGACAAGTAGCAATAAGTGGCTGGAAAAAGGAAATTGAGCATATAACGAACAGCTGGAAGACCAATTAACACTAATTAGGTCAATAGACAACATGATTGGTATAAAAAGAGCTTCTCAGAGTGTCAGTGTCTCTCAGAAGCCAAGATGGTAAAAGGATCACCAATTCCACCATTGTTGCGTAGAAAGATAGTGCAGCAATACCAGAATGGTGTTACCCAGTGTAAAATAGTAAAGACTTTTAAGTTTTCATCATCAACCGTGCATAACATCATCAAAAGATTCAGAGAATCTGGAACAATCGCTGTGCGTAAGGGTCAAGGCCGTAAAACTCTACTGGATGCTCGTGATCTCCG